GTTTTTTGCCATAGGGAGCTTGGGCTTGCTGGAGAGAGGCACAGAGACAGAGAGATAGATAGTGAGAAATCACCCCACGCCAGGGAGAATGGCCATGGCTGTAGTCCCTTCTCCATTCTCCTCCTGGGATCTTAGGTATACGCACACACCCACCTATCATGTTTTTCTTTTTTTCTTGTTTAATAATTGTTTTCTTTTTTTTTTTATAATTATTTATTCATTTATTTTCATTGGACCAGTCAGGGACAGAGTGAGAGAAAGTGGGAACGCAAGCTGCCAGGTCTGGGATTCAAACCATAGTCAAGCCATGTGGGAGTCCAGTGCCTTGAACCACCACGCCACCTGCTGGCCACCCACTTGTCAGAATTTTCAAGCCTCCAAGTCTTCAGGGACTGAAACCACAATTGGCCATATGGGAGTCCAGTGCTTTAACCACCACACCACCTGCTGGCCCCCCTTTTAAAACATTTTTAAAATATTTATTTAATTTTATTATTATTATTATTATTTTTTAATTTGACCAGGGAGAGACAGAGAAGGAGGGAAAGTGATAAAGCAAGCTACCAAGTCCAGGACTCGAACTGTGGTCTGCTGTATGGGAGTCCAAAGCCTTAACCATCACACCACTTACCGGTCCCCTTTATTACATTTTTGCCATAGGGTGTGTGTGTTCTCAAGAGAGAGTGAGAAATCACCCCTTCTAGGGGAGATGGCCATGCTTCTGTCCCTTCTCTTCCATTCCCCTCTTGGGATTTTTTTTTTTTTTTTTTTTTTTGGAGAGATTTTCACTGTAGGGCGCGTGCACTCGCCAGACAGACAGAGACAGACAGAGAGACAGAAAGCGAGAAATTACCCCCCAGGGGGGCTGGCCACGCCGCAGTCCCTTCTCCTCCATTCTCCTCTCGGGATCTCGGGCACGCACGCACACGTGCCCTGCATGAGTTTTAAGCCACCGGGTCCGGGATGCGAACCACAGTCGACTACGTGGGAGTCCAGCGACATAGCCATTACGCTAACTGCTGTTTCCCTCCTCTTGGGATTTTGGGCACGGATATTCATGTGCCCAGCATGGTTTTGAAGTCTCCAGGTCCAGGACTCAAACCTCAGTTGGCCTACCATGTCCAATCCACCTGCTGAGTTAACCATCACACCACCTGGCAGGCAGCTTTTTTTTTTGCCCTAGAATATATGTGCCACCTCAAGAGATAGAGTCAGAGAGAATCAGGGAGGGTGAAGGCAACAAAGCACCACCCATGAAGGTCTCTACTCCATCTGTCCCTCCTTTTGGGATTTTTTTTGGAATTTAGGCACACACACATATGCACTCACCTTGTTTTTTATCTTTTTTTCTTTTTTTGGAGAGGTTTTTGCTATAGGGCGCATGCGCTAACCAGAAAGACAGAGAGAGACAGAGAGACAGAAAGCGAGAAATCGCTCCCCAGGGAAGATGGCCACACCGCAGTCCCTTCTCCTCCATTCTCCTCTCGGGATCTTGGGCACGCTCGCACACGTGCCCGGCGTGAGTTTAAGCCACCGGGTCCAGGACTCAAACCGCGGTCGGCTACATGGGAGTCCAGTAACATAGTCGTTACGCCAACCACTGGTCCCTCCCCTACATTTTCTTCTCAGGATTTTGGACATGCATACACATGTGCCCAGTATATATGTTTTTCTGTTTAATTTTTAGAGGGAGATTTTTTTGCTATAGGGCATGTGAGCTTACTGGAAAAACAGAGACAGAGAGACAGGAAGCAAGATATCACCCCCTGGGGGAATGACCATGCTGCAATCCCTTCTCCTCCAGTCTCCTCTTGGGATTTTGGGCACGCATGCACACGCACCCAGCGTGAGTTTGAGCCACTGAGTCTGGGATGTGAACCGTGGATGACTACTTGGGAGTCCAGTGACGTAACCATATCGCCATCTGCTGGTCCTGCCCAGCATGTCTATTTCAGTCTTGGTGTCTGGGACTCAAACCGTGTTAGAAACCTGTAATCCAGCACCTTAACCACTATGCTACCTGCTGGCCCTGATCCAATCTTTATTTATTCGTTCATTTATTTATTTTGTAGAGGTTTTTGCTATAGGGTGCGTCCACTCCCCAGAAAGACAGAGAGAGACAGAGAGACAGAAAGCGAGAAATCACCCCCAGGGGGGATGGCCACGCCGCAATCCCTTCTCCTCCATTCTCCTCTCGGGATCTTGGGCACGCATGCACACGC